CCAAAAACCCCCCCACAAAAAAGGGGGGGGGTAAGACGTTTTTAGTGGGCGGCAAATATGATTGGTCTCTAATAGGCTTAGGCTAAGAGGCGCCCCCTCTCAAAACCCCCCACCCTTTTTGCGCCGAGCTCCCAGAGGCGGCGGCGGCGGCGAACTCGTTGTCGGCGAGCTCGAGCATCATGAAAAACGTGCGGAAGCCGACCAGCGGCTCGCAATCGGCGAACTAGTCGTCGATCTCCGGGCTTGAGAAGGTCGTCAAAGAGCGTCGTTCTGCGAACTGGTAGGCGAGGCCGTGGGCGCGGCGACGACGTCCGTGTAGCGGTCGGGGACCTCCGCGACGATGGTGTTCGTCGTCGAGACGGTCGAGCTCGTCGCGTGCGCGCCGACGGCGAGCGCGCTCGTCGCGCCGAGACGGTCGGCCGAGCGCGCAGCGTCGACGGCGTCCGCCGCGCGCGTTTCAGGGCTCCCGCGAGCAGCCGACGCGTTCAGCGCCCGCGTAGGGTCTGTCGGCGCCTAGGAGAGCGGCTCCGTGCCGCCGGAGCGGCTCGCGCGGACCGGGTCCGCCGAGGTTGACGCTCGGAACACATTCCGGCCCGAGGCCGTGCCCGTACGCCGACGCCGTCGTCACACTCGACGCAGCGCCCAACGTAGGGGCGGGGGGTGCCGGGGCGCCCGGCGACGGGGTCGCAGGCGCCCGAGAGGGCCAGGGGTCGCGGCCAGCGACGTGCGCACGATCCGCTTCCACGGCTTCGGCGTCCGCTTCAAGCCGGCTGACCAAAAACCCGCCCACAAAAAAGGGGGGGGGTAAGACGTTTTTAGTGGGCGGCAAATATTGCCCTTGTGGCGCGCAACCTCGGCCTGGGCCTGTTGCTGAGCGTGCGATGAGCAGCTCCGCGACCCCCATGCCGCCCGGCGGCTTCGCGAACGTCGAGGACGAGCCGCCTCCGTCGCGGAAGCGCGGGCGGAGCCCCGAGCCCGCGGCGCCGCGCGCGCACCTGCCGCGCGTGCTCCCCGCCGGGACGCGCGCGGCCATCCTCGCCGCCGTCGCCCCGGGTCGCGAGGCGCACGAGGTCGACGACTACCGGCGCCAGGTGCTCGCCGCGGGCCAGACGGCCGAGTTCGTCATCCCGAGCCAGGTGCGTCCCTTGATTTTTTTGCGCCGCCGCGGACCGCCGTAGCCAGGTGACGCCCAAGTACGTCTGCAACGTCTGCGGCAACCGCGACCAGCGCAAGTTCCTCCACGAGCCCCGGGCCGGCGACGTCGTCTGCCTCGGCGCCGACGAGACGGGCTGCGGCAACGTCGTCGAGGAGCACAAGATGCACGAGGGCGCGCAGTACCGCAAGTTCGAGGGCGAGGACGACAAGTCGCACCACGGACCGGCGCCGAACCGGCTCTACTCCGCGGCGCACAACATGCGCACGTCCATGGTGCCCACGGGCGGCGCCGGCGGCGCCGCGGCGAGCCGGCTGCGCCAGGCCTACGACGCCGTGGAGCTCGGCCTGTCGAACCTCGGGAGCGACGAGAAGCGGACGCGCGTCGGCTACAAGGACCAGATGAAGAAGCGGGCCTTCGACCAGATTGTGCACGTGGCGTCGAATTTGGAGCTCCACGCGTCCGTCGTCTCGCGGGCCCAGGCGCTCTTCGCGAACTTCCGCGACGAGAAGGAGTACGTGCAGCGCTACGACGCCGTCCTCGCGGCGTGCGTCGTCCAGGCCGCGGAGGAGGCGGCGGAGGACGAGCACCGCAAGAGCCTGCTCGCGCCCGCGGCGAAGGCGGAGGCGCCGCGGCCCCTCGTGGCGTCGAGCCGCGCGCGGCTCCTCGCGAAGCCGCTCGGCTCCGCGGCGACGCTCGGCGACGGCGCGATGGCGCCGCCCGTCGCCGTCGCGCGGCGGCGCCACCCGGCGGCGCCGACCAAGGGCGCGGCGCGGCCCGCGCCGACGAACACGGTCCGCGCGGGCAAGGACTGGGCCGCCGCGCTCGAGGACCTCGGGAGCGACGACTCCGACGACGACTAAGTTAAACCGCTCGAGGCGCCTTACCAGCCCGCGACGCGGCCGCAGCGCGCGTCCATGGCGGCGTCGGAGTTGCCGTAGACCTTCTGGCCGTCGGCCGTCGCGCGCATGACCCGCACGCGGAAGTTGTCCGCGCGGGGCGCGTCCACGGGCGTCGTCGCGTCGCGGCTGAGCGCCTTGCCGAGGCCCTTGGAGTTCCACGACTCGAGGATCATGTTCTTCGTGAAGGTCATGTCCTTGAAGCAGGTCTGCGCGTCCTCGTAGCCCCGCCGGAGCGCCGCGACGCCCGTCGCGCGCGGCAGCATCCAGAACCAGTCGCGCGCGGCGCAGAACTTCGACAGGTCCCAGGCGCAAAAGGGCGAGATGGGCTCGGGGAAGTAGCCGTCGGGCCGGTTCTTGAAGATGACGTCGAACGTCACGCCGCGCGCCTCCTCGAAGGCCTCGATCTGCGACCCGCACCAGTTCGCGTTCGCCACCTGGCCGAGCCCCGACTGGAGCACCTCCCGCGCGCGCCACGCGTCGGACGCGTTCGGGTCCGGGTGGTGCGTCATGAAGTACTTGCGCTGGCAGTGGGGCTCGGGCTCCGTGTGCAGGCCGTCGATGACCTCGAGCGCGCCGACCTCGAGGCCCATGCCCTTGACGATGCGCTCGAGCTCGCCCGCGGCCGTCGCGTCCACCAGGCTGCCGCGGCCGAGGTTCTCCTCGCGGCTCGCGCCCTTCCAGCCCCGGTCCGTCGCCTTGAGGAACGCGAAGAGCACCGTGCGCTTCCCGCCGAAGGCGTCGGCGAGGTTCGGCTTGTAGCTGCCGTGGACGGCGGCCTCGCGGAACGTCCGCGCGTTGCCGGCGACGCAGATGGCGACGGTGGGGCCGTCGCCGTCGCAGGCCGGAGCTGTCGTGCTCGACGACGCCAGCGACGCGAGCACGACGAGCAGGCGCGGGGGCTGCCCCCATTGCGATGAATTATGGGGCAGCACCGTACTTGGCCACGCGACGATGCTCGCCAAGAGCTCTGCTCGATTGCCACAGATCAGACGCGGCCTAACATCCTCGTCCACTCGAGCCGCGCCGCACCGCGCCGGCACCGCACGGCAATGGCCTCCCAGGCCCTCGTCGACGCCTCCAAGGCCGCCATGGCCAAGGACTACGCCGGCGCCCTGGCGCTCCTCGAGGGCAAAATAGAAGAGCCCGAGCGGTCGTCGGCCGTCGCCCAGAACATCCTGGGCGTCTGCCTCTGGAAGGTCGGGCGCCTCGACGAGGCGTCGGCGTGCCTCGGCGCGCTCGCGGCGCAGCCCGGCGCGAGCGCGCAGGTCGCGGGCAACTACCGCGGCGTGCGCCTCGACGCCAAGGTCGCGGCGATCACCGCGGCGAACGACGCCAACGGCGCACGGCCGCCGGGCGACGCGGCGGCGGCCGCGGCCTGCGCGGCGCGCTACGAGGCCGTGGACCTCGACGACCCCTGCACGGACGACATCCGCTTCCACGCGCTCTACAACGCGGGCCTCTGCCGCCTCGACGCGGGCGACACGGGCCGCGCGGCCCAGTGCTTCGAGGCGGCGCTGCAGGCGAAGCCCGACTTCGCCGCGGCCTGGCACAACCTCGGGGAGGCGCTGCGGCTCCTGGGCGACCTCGACGGCGCGGCGCACGCCTTCGGCGAGGCCAAGGCGCGCGGCGGCGGCGGCGGCGGCGATGCGGGCGGGCCGTCGGACGACGAGGTCGCGGACGCGGCGGGCCGGGGCCTCGTCGAGTCCATGCTCCAGGCGGGGCGCTACGCCGACGCGCTCGCGGCGCTGGGCCCGCTCTTCGACGCGAGCTCCGGGGAGGGCCTCATCGAGCCGCTCTACTGGCGGGGCCTGTGCCGCCTGAACACGGGCGACGCCGCCGCGGCCGCGGAGGACCTGGAAAAGTGTGTCGTTTTATTGGAAAAGCAAACCCACCCCATCTACCCGCTCGCGGGCGTCCGGGGCCCGCTCTTCACGGCCTGCGCGCGCCGCGGCGAGGCGTTGCTCCTCGACGGCAACGACGCGGCCGCCGCGCTGCCCTACTTCGAGAAGGCCGTCGGCGCCGTCGACGACGCGCACGCGGAGCGCGCGACGGCGCGGCTCAATTTGGGCATCTGCCGCGCGCGCACGGGCGACGGCGCCGGCGCCGCGGCGATGCTCCGCCAGCTCGCCGACGAGGGCCGGGGCCCGCCGGACCGCGCGGGCCACGCGCTCGGCTCCGTCTTATTGGACGGCGGCGACTACGCGGCCGCGAAGGACGCGTACGCCGCGGCGACGGCCGACCCGTCGAAGATCCGCGACCCCGACGACGCCGACGGCCTCCACAACCTGGGCTTCTGCTGCTACAAGCTCGGCGACCTCTACGCGGCGCGCGACGCCTTCGCCAAGTCGCTGGCCATGCGGCGGGACCACGAGCCCTCGGTGCGCGCGGTCAAGCTCATCGACGCGCTCATCGCCGCGCGCGAGCGCCGCGAGGACGCGGCGCTCGGTGCCCTCGCCAAGGACTGGGACGCGTGCGCGGCGCTGGGGGAGGACGAGGCGCCGGCGCCGTCGGACCTCGACGCGCGCTACCTGCTGTTGCGGGACCGGCTCGCGCGCGACGCGGCGGAGCCGTTGAGCGGCGTCAAGCGGGGCGGCACGGAGGAGGGGTCCCTCGAGCGGCCCTTCGACCCCGCGGAGCTCCCGGAGGTCCAGGCCGCCGACGACGCCACGCGCAAGGCGTTCCGCGCGCTCCGCGCCGTCGACAAGCTCCGCGCGTCCGCGTTCTCGCCGCGCGACGCCGCGCTCGACGACGCGCTCGCGGGGCACAAGGCCGCGGCGAAGAAATCCATCGCCGAGGGCGAGGCCGCGAAGCGGTCCGACGGCCCGCGGGGCGAGGCCGCGCGGACCGACGCGGCGGCGGCGCTCGAGGCCGTCCGCGACGTCGCGGCTCGCGGCGACGCCGCCGCGCGGGCGAACGCCGCCGCGCGCCGCGACGCCGAGCGGGCCGCGCTCGCGGACGCGGCCGCCGCCGTCGACGGCGCCGTCGCCGCGGCGGCCGCCGCCGTCGACGCGCACGCGCGCGCGGCCGAGGCCGCGGCGGTCGCCGCCGCCGAGGCCGCGGCGGCGCGGCGCCGCGAGGCCGCCGCCGCCGCCGAGGCCGAGGAGCGCGCGGCCCTCGAGGCGGCGGAGCGCGCGGCCCTCGCCGCGGACCTCGACGCCGCGGACGCCGCGCTCGGCGGCGCCGCGGACGGCGGCGACCCCGAGGGCCTCGCGGCGGTGCGGCGGAGTGCGACCGCCTCGCGGGCGTGCTCGCCGCGGGCGCGGCGACGGCCGCCGCGCGCGACCGCGCGGCGAAGGCGGGCGTCGCCGACGAGCCCGAGTTCGCCGCCGCGGCCCGGGCCGCCGACGCCGCGCGGGACGCGGCCGCGGCCGCGGTCGACGCCGCGCGCGGCGCGGCCGGCGACGCCGCGGCCGAGCTCCTGGCGGCGGCCCGGGCCGCCGTCGACGCCGCGACCGACGCCGCGGCGGCGCTCGGCGCCGCCGTCGCCGACGCCGCCAAGGCCGCGCGGAAGCGCCGCGCGGCCGAGGGCCGGCGCCGCGAGGCCGAGCTCCTCGCGCGGCTCGCGGACGAGGAGGCCGCCGCGCGGCGCCGCGCGGAGGAGTTCTACGCGGCGCTGGACCGGAAGCGGCTCAAGAAGACGGGCCGCGTATTAGACGGCGCCGCGCAACAAACCTACGAGGACCCGCGGAAGCCCCTCGACGTCGCGGCCTTCGCCCCGGCGGACGCCGACGCCGCGCGGAACCTCTACGCCCAGGGCTGGTCCACGGGCGCGCTCGTCGTCCTCGCGCGGGGCCGGCGCCGCGGCTCGCTCCGGGGCGCGGCCGCGGCGTGCCTCGCCGAGGCCGCGAAGGGCCGCGCGCCCCTCGACAGCGACGACGCCGGCGCGCTGGAGCTCTACGCGGCGGGCTGGTCGCCGAGCGCGCTCGCCACGCTCCTGCGGCTCCGCGCGGCCGGCGGGGGGGACCTCGCGGACCTCGCGGCGGGCCACGCGCAATCGCTCGGGCCCGCCGCGGCGACGCGGACCTACGACCCCGCGCGCAAGTACGCCCTCGGCGACCTCGCGGCGCCGGAGGCGCCGCCGGGCGTCGACCCGAGCCGCCGCGAGCTCCACCTCGACGCGGCCGCCTTCGCCGCCGCGTTCGGCATGGACCTCGCGGCCTTCGAGGCGCTCCCCAAGTGGAAGCAGGCGCAGCTCAAGCGCGCGCGCGGGCTCTTCTAGCCCCCGGGGCTCGTAAGCGTGGGCTACGCCGCCGCCGCGCGCGCGCCTAGAGGCCCGCGGCGGACTCGGCCGCGTGCGCGTCCGCGGCCTCGTAGGCCTGCTTCCGGCCGCCGGCGGGCCCGTCGATGATGGAGTCGAGGCTGACGAACTTGTTCGTGATGCGCATCTGGTCCATGGCCGTGCGGATGCGGTGCTTGCGGAGGAAGGCCTCGTGCGAGTTCTGCTTGCGCTCGTCGACGACCATGGCGCGCTCGAGCTTGATGCGCGCGGACCGCGCGTCGTCGAGCTGCACCTTCTGCAGGAGCTGGAGGCGGTGGAAGTCGTCGACGCGGCGGATGCGCGCGACGTTCTCGAGGCGCGCGACGTTCTCGAGCTCCGACTCGACCTTCTGCATGGCCAACGCCTCCTCGCGCTCCTTGGTGACGCGGTTGTAGTACTGCTCGCGGTGCTTGCGCTCGGCGATGATCTTGCCCCGGCGCTCCTTGCGGAGGTCGACGGCGATCTCGAGCCGCTCCTTGCGCATCTTGTCGTTGGCCTCGCGCTCCGCCTTGGCCTTTGCGGCCTTGACGACGTCCTCGTCCTGCTTCTCGCGGGCGCGCACGGCCGCGTCCTGCTGCTTCTTGGCGAAGAGCTCGCGCTCCTCCTGCTGGCGCTTCCGGTTGTGCTCGAGCGCCTGGCCGATGCGCTTCTCCGCCTTGGCGCGCGCGGCCTGGATCTCCTCCTTCTTCTTCGCCTTCTTGGCCTGGAGCATGGCGCCGAGCTTGACCTCGCGCTCCTGCATCTTCACCTGGCTCAGCTCCGCGAGCTCCTGGATGTGGTTCAGCGCCGCCTCCGATCTTTTAGCCTGCTCGACGAGCTTCGCGGACCGCTCGCTGTCGCGCTCGCGCATGGCGTCGGCGTGGCTCCGCTTCTGCGTGGCCTCCTCGGCGACGCGCTTCTTCTCCCGCTCGACCTCCTTGGCCGCCGCGGCCTTGGCGTGCTGCTCCTCCTCGTACTCGCGCTCCGCGGACCGCTCCTTGCGCTCCTTCTGCTTCGCCTCGAGCTTCGCGCGGCTCTCGGCCTTCTTCTTCTCGTTCTCGGCGACGCGCGCGCGCTCCTCGGCCTCCGTGTGGCGCATCTTCTCCTGGAGCTCGCTCATCTTCTGCTCGCCGGCGATCATGCGCGACAGCTCCTTGGCCTGCCGCTTCTTTATCGCCTCGATGCGCTTGATCTCCGTGGCGGAGATGGCCTCGGACGCGACGGGGCCCGCCGTCGCGTCCATACCACCCGCGCCGGGGGGCACGCCGACCGTGGACGTCGCGTCGAAGCGGCCCGCGGGCGCGGCGTGCGCCGGCGCGTCGCGCGCGAGGTCCGCGCGAGTCGCGCGGACCATGCTCAGCTTGTCCTGGCGCCGCTTCTCGAAGAACTCGTAGCGCCGGTCCGCGACCTCCTTCGACGTGCCCGGCCCGCCGAAGGCCTTGGCGGGCCGCGGGAGCAGCTCCTCGACGAGCAGGCCCTTGTGGAGGCAGGCCTCGAGCGTGCGCGGCGAGTTCACGTTGAGGCCCTCGACGTTGCCGTCCTTGGGCACGGCCGGCGCCATGGCGCGCGTGTGAGAAGGGCGCCAAAGGTCCGCGGGGTCGTGGCGCCGCGCGCGTGCGCCGATCGACGTCGGGAGAGCACAGACAAGAGGGCAGCGCTCTCGTTCGGCAGCGCTAATTACGCGATCTTCGTGTTGCACTGCAACATCTTCGGCAGCGCGGCGGAGTCTGGTGCCTCCCACGGAGGCCGGCCTCGGCCATGGTCAAGTTCGCCGTCAAGCCCCGGGGGCGGGCGGCGCCGGCGGGCGAGGGGCTCGGCGCGGAGGCGCTCGCTTCCGAGCTCGCCGCCGTCAAGCGCCAGAAGCGGGCCCTCCAGCGCCAGCTCGCGGGCCACGTCAAGCTGGCCCACATGGCCGCCGTGACGTCCCACGCCGAGGCGCGCACGTTCTGCGCGACGATCTTCGGCAACGCGCTCTACGAGGACCGGCTGCCGCCGCGCTTCCTCGTGGCGTCCTACGTCGGCGTCGACCCGGACCGGCCCCGGGGTCCGTACCCGCCGTCGCTCTTGCGGCTCCACCCCGCGCGGGACCACGCGCTGGGCACGCCGGCGACGCGTTTGGACCTCGCGCCCTGGCGCGCCGACGAGCCCCAGCTCCGGCGCATCGTCGCGGCCGTCGGGCCGACGCTCGTCGACCTGGACCTCGCGTCGGCCGTCGCGCCGTACGCGCGGGGGCCCGGCGCGGCGCCGTCGTGCGTCGCGCCCTGGACCTGGCCGCGCCACAAGGCCTGCGAGCACCACGGCCACCTCCCCGACGACGCGGGCCTGCGCGCCGTCGCCGTCGCGGCGACGCACGACCGGAGCGACGGCCGGCGGCCGCTCCGGCTGCGACGGCTCGGCCTCGCGCGGTGCGGCGCGGTGACCACGGCGGGCGTCGCGGGCGTCGTGCACGCGACGCTGCACAGCCTCGAGGCGCTGGACCTCGCCGAGAACCCCCAGCTCGACGAGGCCGTCGTGTTGGCGTTGAGGGATCCGCTGCGGCCCGCGCGCCTCGCGACGATCGACCTGAGCGGTTTGGCCGCGCTCGGCGACGGCGGCGTCGCCGTCGTGGTCCGCTGCTGCCCGGGCCTCGAGGTCGTGCGTCTGTGCGGCTGCGGCCGCGTCGGCGACGAGGGCGCGCGCCTGCTCGTCGACGGCTGCCCGGGCCTCCGGGACCTCCGGCTCGCGTCGTGCGCCCGCGTCGACGGGTCCTTCCTCGCGCACGACGTCGTCGCGCCGCGCGACCCGAAGCAGGTCGAGGGCGAGATCGCCTGCCTCGCCATGCGCCCGGCGCTGACGGCGCTGGACCTCGGCGACACGGCCGCGCGGCGCGAGTGCGCGCGGTGGGCCGCGGGCTGCTGCCCGGCGCTCCGCGCGCTGCGGCTGGCGACCTGCGGGCCGCTGGAGGACGAGGGGCTCCTGGCATTAGCCGTGAACCCGGCCCTGGCCCTCGAGTCGCTCGACGTGTCCGGGTGCCACCTGCTGGGCCGCGACGGTCGCGGGCTGTGTGGAAATCAACCGCTGGTTTGGGACGTCCCGACCAAACTTTGAAACTCTCTAGCTCGGTCAATTCGAAGTCGATTCGGCTGATTTTTGGACGAATTGATTGCTCTCATTCAGTTTTTGAAGCACAGTTGAAGAGTCTGGTCCGAACCGTTCGATTACGCGCACATTGAAGTCGGGTTGAAGATTTGATTTCCACACAGGCGGCAAGGCCTTCTACGAGCTCGCGTACCGCCACGGCGACTCGCTCGAGTGTTTGGACCTGCGGCACGTGCCGCTGCTCGCGCCCCACGTCGTCGCCCAGATTTTAGACGACTGCACGTTCCTGCGGCAGCTGCGCCTCGACGGCACGCAGGCGCCGTCGGAGGCGTGCTTCGGCGGCGCGGAAGGCGCGGAACTCGCGCTCGCGCAGGCCAAGGAGGGGCTCAGGGCCGCGGCGTTCCGGCCGAGCGGCGGCGTCGGCGCGCCCGTGAGCCTGTTGGGGGGCAAGGGGTCCGGCAAGCGGCGGCGGCCGCCGGAGCGCCCGCCGGCGGCGCACCGGGAGCGGCCCGTGCGGACCGCGCGGCTCGGCGCGCTCGAGGAGCTCACGATGGCCGGCTGCGCGCGGCTGACGGCGCCGGCGCTCGCCTGGGTCGCGACCCGGCTGCCGAACGTCCGCTGCCTGGACCTGACGCACGCGGGCGCCGGCGGCGCTTTGACGGACGCGTCGGTCTGGTGCGTCGCGTCGTCGTGCCCGCGGCTGCGGCGGCTGCTCATCGCGCGGCCCCAGGACAGCGGCGGCATGAGCCGCAATGCGGCGGCGAACAGCGCCTTCCTCACGGACGCGTCGCTCTACGCGATCGGCGAGCACCTGCCGCGGCTCGAGACGCTCGACCTGAGCCAGCACCCGTTCCTGACGGCGCTGGGCTGGGCCGGCTTCGAGAACCCGCGTTTGAGGGTATTGAAGATGACGGGCTGCGCGGCGCTCGAGGTGCGGGGGTTGCAGGTGGTCGCCAAATTCGCGCCGAACCTCACGGACTTTGACGCGAACGGCGCGCCGCTCGTGGAGCCCGAGGACGTGCGCCGCGTCTTCGGCGCCAACGCCTACGCGACGTCCCACGAGGGCGACGTCGCCATCCGCCCGAACCGCGACGCCGCGGCCATCGAGCGGCGCGACGCCGCGTACGCGCGGCTGCACCACGAGGGCTTGTGCGCGACGTGGATCTTCTGCGGCTGGCGCTTTTTTCAACTGACGCACCGCATCCGGCGGCGCATCGCCGGCGCCGTCGTGAAGCGCGCCGTCGTCGAGTACCGCGCGCGGCGGCGCGACGCGTTCCGCCAGCACTTCAAGCGCCTGGTGAACTACCGGCGCATCATCGCGCGGTGGTCCGCGATCCGCCTCCAGCGGTGCGTGCGCCGCTGGCTCGTGGCGCGGGGCATCCGGGCCTGCGTGCGCATCCAGCGCTGCTACCGGAGCCGCCGGGCCAAGTGGCTCGTGGACATGCTCACGATGATCAACGGCTCCGTCACGTTGATCGCGCGCGTCTGGCGGGGAAAGAAGACGCGGACGGACCTACCGTTGGATTTATTGCGCATGGCGAAGCAGTGGGAGGAGGAGATCGGCCGCGGCGGCGGCAACCGGAGCCGCGCGGCCGAGGAGCTCGAGGACGCGATGTCGCGGCGGATCCTCGACGAGATCGGCGGCCACGTCGCGCGCCTCGCGGAGAACATGGCGACGACGAAGCGCCAGATGGGCGAGACCATGCAGACGAAGCAGGACCGGCTGCGCAAGGGGGTCCAGGAGCGGCTCAAGGCCGCCGAATTGTCCATCCCCCTGTCGCGGAAGATGCGCGTGCCCGTCTACGGCGACGCCAGACCCCACGCGTACGACGGCGCGGCCGCGGCCGCGGGCCGGTCCCACGTCTTCGGCGAGGCTGTGTGGCCCGAGCCCCGGGGCCGCGTCTTCGAGGAGACCGTGGCCGACTTCGACCCCAAGGCCGCGACGTACGAGGCGCGCGCGAAGATGGTCGAGAAGACGGCCGCGGCCGCGCTGAGCGGCGGCGAGCTCGCGCCGGAGCTCGGCAAGGGCGGCGACTCCAAGGACGCGGATTATGCGGATGGCAAGGCCGAGCAATCTCGACGCACGCCCTGGTCCATGGCGAATCTACAGAGCGCCGATTCGTTACTGCCGACGCTCGCGGCGGCGAATCTGGCGCAGATGAAGCAGACGCTCATCCTGGACCGGGCGAAGAACGAGACGGAGGCGCGGCAGATCGAGGAGGCGAAACGGTTGGAACAGGCGCTGGAGGAGGCCGAGGAGGAGGCGCGGCAGCAGGCCGCGGCCGCGGCGCTCGTGTCCGAGGAGGAGAACCAGGCCGTCACGGACATGTGCGCGCTCGTCCGCGGCCACTTCGGGCGGACGATCGCCGACCAGGCGCGCGAGAACCGCGCGACCATGCTCGAGGAGCGCGAGAAGGCGCGGGTCGGCAAGGCGGCGACGGCGATCCAGAAGCTGGAGCGCGCGCTGTCCGTACGGCGCGACTTCGACGACCGCGACATCGGCGTCGGCACGTGCTGCGGCCTGCGCGAGGTCGTCCAGGAGGAGTACGCCGTCGTCGAGTACGGCGAGCCGCCCCAGCCGTCCCTCGTGAGCCGGCGCGGCCGGGGCCGCCACGCGCCGGGCAGCGAGGGCGAGCAGGAGAACAAGGCCAAAATACAGATCCGCGTCCACGCGGACTTTCAGATTCGACGGTCCTACGAGCGCAAGGCCGCGCTCTTCGAGCGGGGCGAGCTCCGGTCCAAGTGCGCGGCCATCGACGAGAAGGGCCTGGTGAAGGCCTACGAGCGCCTCGAGGCGCTGGACGCGGAGCACTGTGTGGAATTCAACCACTGGTTTGGGTGGTCCTGACCGAACTTCAGAATTCTCTAGCTCGATCAAATCGAAGTCGATTCGGCTGATTTTTGGACGAATCGATTGCTCTCGTCGAGTTCTCGAAGCACAGCCGAAGAGATTGCGTCGAAACGGTCGCATATGCGGACATTGAAGTCGGGTTGAATATTTGAATTCGGCACAGGCGGAGCACGACAAGCTCGCGGACCTCGAGCTCGCGAACGACTGCGTCGGCAAGGCGCTCCAGGCCATGATCGTGGCCTACCTGTCTGCGGAGAGCGAGAAGACGCAGGCGCCGGCGAAGGTGCCCGAGGCCTGGGACGTGGCCATGCGGGGCGTCGCCGCGCGGCGGAAGCACCTCACGTACGCCGTCGACGCGCTGGAGAAGGCGCAGTGGTGGGGCGTCGAGGCCGTGCGCTGCCACTACCGGCGCCACCGGGCCTGCGCCCTGTCCATGTCGACGGCGGCGAACCGGCTGCGCTGGCTCGACCGCGAGTGCGCCCTCATCGGGAAGCTCCGCGCGTTCCTGAGGCAGCGGCGCGAGATGGCGCCCGACTCGATCCACCAGAAGTACTACGTCGCCTGGCTCGACAGCCAGCTCGAGCGCCTCGCGTCCATGTTCGTCGCGCTCGACTCGGAGCAGGAGCACGTCGTCGCGCGGGACCTGGGGCAGATGCGCGCGTGCATGGAGACCGCGCTCGGCTCGGAGGCGATCCTCGACGAGATGGTCCAGGACCTCCGCGCGGACTACAAGTACGACGCGGAGAAGGTCGGCCTCGAGCTCGCGCGGCTGCGCATGGACGCCGAGTCCGAGGACGCGCTGCGGGCCCTCGAGGCGACGACGGTGCTCAAGCAGAAGCAGGAGCACCTCCACGAGGGCGCGTTCGTCCAATTGCGCGCGGCCCTGGAGGACCTCCACAAGCGCGAGGAGTCGCGGCTCGAGCGGCAGATCGCGTTCCGCGGCGACGAGCAGGGCCTGGAGCGGGAGAAGCTCGTCGACATCCAGGCCGTGCTGCGGAACCCGCCCAAAATCCACGGCCACTTCGACCGGGAGAAGTGGCTCGACGTCTTCCGGTCCCAGCCGTGGCTCGCGCAGCAGGAGGTCGAGGAGGCGAAGCGGCGCGAGACCTTCGACAAGAAGAAGATGCAGCTCGCGCAGATGGCGGGCATCGTCGAGCAGAAGCGCGAGGACATGGTCAAGGAGTCCGCGGAGTTGGACGCCTTGGAGGCCGCGATGCTCGAGAACGAGCGCGTCCGCGACGCCGCGGACTCGACCCGCGACGCCCGGGAGGCGGCGGCGACGTTCCTCGAGGTCAACGCGGGCGTGCTCGCGGAGAAGCGCGCGGACCACGCGCGCCGCGAGGAGGCGCTCGAGAAGCTCGAGGGCACGCTCGCCGAGTTCACGCGCGAGATGGGCGCGGAGGAGAAGGAGGCCCACGACCGCCTCGCCGCGGCGCGCGCGGCCAAGGCCGAGTTCGACGCGACGGAGTCCGAGGAGGAGGACAAGCGCGCGGCCGTGCTGAACGCGCGGAAGCGCGCGATCGCCGCGGAGATGAGCTCGATCGAGCAGGAGATGGCGGCGGACGACGGCGACGACGCCGACGCCATCGACGCCATGGAGGAGCGGTCCAAGGGCCTCGAGGAGGAATTGGAGGCCATCGACCGCGAGCTCAAGTCCATGAAGGAGCGCAGCGAGCGCCGCAAGGTCATGACCGAGGCCGTCGAGGCCGAGGCCACCGAGGAAGTGGAAGCAAAAGCCCAGAAGGAGCTCCAGGAGAAGCTGAGGGCCGACAAAAAATCGGAGGCCGTCGAGAAGATGCGCGAGCAGGCGCGCAAGGACGAGGAGCAGGCCGCGAAGGAGGAGGCCGCGCTCCAGCTCGAGCGCGAGCAGGCCGCGGAGCTCAAGGCCGCGGGCGCGCTGGCGGCCATGGGCCTCGTCGACCCGTCCCTCAAGAAGCGCAAGGGCCCCCTGCGCGAGGCCTACAAGGAGGCGAAGCACCGCGCGCGCCGCGCGGTCTTCGGCGCCGACTCCGTCGCGGCGGAGCAGCAGGAGTCGAACCACATGATGCAGTCCATCATGCGCCGCCAGAAGCTCAAGATGGGCGCCGCGACGGCCATCCGGAGCATCCGCTTCACCGTGGGCAAGGAGGAGACCGACGCCTTCAAGGAGAAGCAGGAGCAGTTCGCCGCGGACAGCCTCCCGCACTACATCCGCGTGAAGAAGACCATCGGCCTCCACACGCAGATCGCCATCTGGATCGAGCCCTCGGCGGACCAGGACGAGTTCCTGACGGACGTCCAGATCGCCCACTCGTCGCCGGAGAACGAGTTCTACAAGGACTTGAGCCAACGCGGTTACGCGGCGTACACGCACCCGAAGCTCCAGGCGGAGAAGGGGTCGGACCCGGGCTTCGTCATCTGGGGCAAGAAGCGCAAGGACGCCGTCTTCGTCGTCGCGTCCATCGAGGTGTCCTACACGCTGCGCGACGAGCAGAACTTCGCCGCGGACGGCTACGAGAAGATCGACAAGAACCTCACGAACTTCAACTTCGGCGACATGTTCCTCTGGGTCAAGAAGATCAACCGCAACGCCGAGGCGGAGAACGACAACGAGGAGTCCATCTTCCACGAGCTGCGGGCCACGCGCAAGGAGATCCGCAAGCGGCCCGACGACCCCATTTTAGTGCAGCGCGAGAAGGGCCTCAAGGCGCGTCTGGAAAAAGTCAAGGAGTACGCGGACTACCGCGACGCGTTCAAGGAGGACCCCCTGAAATACGCCATCGAGTTCATGGCCATCACCCAGTCCGAGCTCGAGCGGTGGATGGACCACTTCACGGCCATGGACACGGAGCACATCGGCGGCATCTCGCCGAAGCAGGTGCTGGAGTACCTCGGCTTCCGCGACACGCGGTTCATGTACGCGGCCTTCGCTCTACTGGGCGAGCCGGCGGACGGCACGCTCATGGACTTTGGCGAGACCGTCAAGTGCATCGGGTCCTTCTGCTTCTTCGGCAAGGACGAGCTGCTCCACTTCGCGTACTCGATCTTCGACTCCGACGACAACGGCTACATCACGCACGACGAGTTCCTGCTCCTGCTCTCGGACCTGCACGCGGCGACGAACCGGGGCCGCACGAACCGGGCCCTGCGCGAGATCGAGCTCTTCGACGACGGGAAGCTCACCTACGAGGAGTTCCTCGAGACGGACAAGAACTTCCCGAACCTCTTCTACCCGCTCTTCGAGGCGCAGAACCTCATGCGCCAGAAGTTCTTCGGCACGCGGTACTGGACGCGGAAGCTGCAGAAGTACACCAAGATCAAGGCCCAACTCCGCGAAGAGCGGCAGAACAACACGGACAAGATGGCGGCCGCGGACGCGTGGTTCGAGAGCCGCGTCGCGAAGCGCACGGAGCGGCTCCACAAGAGCAAGCTCGCCGCGCAGAACACGCAGTCCATCGTGAAGCGGAGCCTGCTGACGGCGCGCATCTACGCGCTCCAGTTCGCCCAGAAGCACGACAAAAAGAAAAAGAAGTTCGGAAGGGTCAACAAGAACCTGCCGGGCGCGATCAAGTAAGAAAAAATGTGGTGTGGTCTTTGTGTTAGACAGGCAGGGGGTGCACCCGAAGCAGGGGGAACTAACGGTGCTTAGATCCAATCGACGTAGTGCTCGAGCGCGAGGCAGGTGTCTGCAACGCTCATGTAGATGTCGTGGTCTCCATGAGCCATGGCAAACTTGACGGTAAACACCGACAAAGTAGAAGGAGTCTTTTCCCCTCTTTCTCGGTCGTGGTCTTCCCAGTAAGCAGAGATTTCCGGACGTGCCTCGAAGTCAACCGTTTGCGTTAAAAAGTTCACCGGTTGCGGCGAAGCCGCACGTTCTTGCCGCAAGGACCCCATATTGTAAAAGATACTGAAGTCGTCCACAGCAGGACCGTGGCAGAGTCGCGCTTGCTTTCCGTCCGACCGCGTGACAAAAACGCGGATGCACGTCTCCATTTCGTGATCTGTCCACATGGACTCTGCGTGATAATACACTTCGGCTGGTGGAAAGAACTCGACATGCGCACTCCCAACCGAACTGGGTCGATGCCCATCCTCGCGGGTTTCATTATAGAATCTTTCCGACGCTGAACCCGTGCCGACAAAGATAGACTCACAGTCGCTAAATTGGTTGCTTCCAGTGGGAAAGAGCATGATTTCTAGCGAGTAAACGTAGTCGTCGAGACGGGTCCTCGGCACGAGTCGTGGACGCTCGGGCTGCAGCAGTCCTTCTTCGAGCTGCAGTTGACGGTAGAAGAGTTCGCGCGGCATGGTATGGCGGTGCTGACCGAGGACGATTGTCCCGAGGATTGGGAACCGGCGGACCAGGAGTCGGTGTTCGAGGCCCGGGCTGAGGCGCGCGAGGCCGCGGCGGAGCTCCGAGCTCGCCGCGGCGCACGCCGCCACGCCTGCGAGGTCACAACAATTGAGGACAGCGTCCGCGAGGTCTTCCGGCAGACCGAGGCGACCCACGCCACGGTCGAGATTGTCTTTCGCATGCGCCGCGTCTCGAGCGCATTTGTAGGCTTCGCGAGCCTGCTGGAACGCCTCATAGGCCTTGGCGACCGTCTGCTGGGAGTCCTCGCGCTGCAGCGAGAGCTGGGCTAGAGAGTCAAGCGGTAGGTCGGCCATCGTGCGCGCGGCACGCTTTGCTTTGAGCCTCCGAGATGCAATGCCAATGGCAAAATCGCTCAAAACCTGATCCCAGAAGGCTCCCAGGGCCAAGGCCAACCCTAGAGCTTCGCGTTCATGTCGTTCTCCATGCCCCCCTCGGCTGTGTCGTCGTCCTCGCGCCAGGCGGACTTCGCGTTACGCCAGGCACCAGACCGCGAAGGTCGGCGCGGAGAGGAACGCGGCGACGACGAGGCCAAGGCCAAGCGCAAGCGCAGCATCTCGGGCTCTGGCGACGACGCGGCGTAAAGATTTAGGCTATACGCGCGCATCGAGGTGCGCGAGGCCCCTTATAGCTGTCTCGTTGCCCTTGGCAGCGGCGCGCTCGTACCAGTATCTGGCTTTGCCGAGGTCGACTTCCGTGCCTTTTCCAGTGTGGTAACAGTAGCCAAGGTTATGCTCTGCATTGGTATAGCCTTGATCCGCCGCGAGCACAAAGTACCGGACCGCTTCTTCAAATTTCTCCTCAGAGCGAAGTACATTCCCTAAATTGTCTTGCGCGGTCGCGTGTCCCCGGTCCGCGGCCGCGCGATACAGCCGCTCCGCCTTCTTCTTGTCCAGCTTGACGCCACGTCCAGTCTCGTGCAATAACCCAAGATTCACGATCGCGTCCACATCTCCGAGCTCCACGGCGCGCCGGTAAATCTTCGCGGCTTTCTTATCGGATTTCACGAGGCCGAGTTGACCTTTGCGGTACATGTCTCCCAAACACGTAATTGCTTCCGGCACCTCGTTCTCCACATGGCGGCGAACTTGCGCGAGTGCTTCCGCATGGGTCGTTGGGCACGGTATACGACAGAGGGGACACGTCTTGAAGCCGATCTTTCCCTGGCACGATTGGCAGACCTTTCGGCAGCAGCAGACACGAAGCAATTTGTTCGCATTCACGTCCCAGTTCTCGAGACAGATCGGGCACCGCGACCCGTACCGCGCCGACGCCGGCGCCGGTTCCGGGTCCGTCTCGCGCCGCACGCGGGCCGCCTCGTGCTCCGCCGCGATGCGCGCGCGGACCTCGTCGGCGTGCGACCGAGGCGCGGGGCCGTAGAACACGTCCCGCGGCGGCGACGGCGCGCGCGTCGGCGCTTCGGCCCGCGCCGCCTCCGCGGCCTGGATCTTCTTGCAGACTTTCCGGTGGCCCCGGTCGCGCCAATCGATGCGTTGGCAGTCCGTCGAACAGTAGGCCGTCGTGCCGCACCCTTTACAGGGCCGGGCATCCTTCTTCCCGCAAATCGTGCATATGTTGAGCGCCAGCTTCGTACGGGTTTTTCGCGCCTCGTACTCTCGCTTCTTCTTGATCAGTTCCGGGTCCATGATCTCTGACCGCGCGCGTCCTTGCGTCGCTCCTCAGGCTCCTCGGCCGATCGCAAAGGCAAAATCCTTCCCTGCGCCGCGGCTAAGCAAAATCGCTCAAAAATCTCAAAATCTTACCCCAGGCCGAAGCCCACCCGCTAGAGCATCGCGTCCATGTCATTCTACATGCCCTCGGCGGCGGCATCATCGTCCTTGCGCCCGGCGGGCTTCGCATTCAGGAACGCGAGGCACCAGACCGCGAAGGTCGGCGCGGAGAGGAACGCGGCGACGACGACGCCAAGGCCAAGCGCGACTCGACCGCGCGCAAGCGCAGCGTCTCGGGCTCGGGCGACGACGCGGGGTGAGGAGTTAGGCTATACGCGCGCGTCAAGGCGCGCGAGGGCCTGTATAGCTTTCTCGTGGCCCTTGGCAGCGGCGCGCTCGAACCAGTATCTGGCTTTGCCGAGGTCGACTTCCGTGCCTTCTCCGTCCATGTAACAGCAGCCAAGGTTATGCTCTCCACGTGTATGGCCTTGATCCGCCGCGAGCGCGTAGTACCGGAACGCTTCTTCAAACTTCTTCTGAGAATCAAGTAAAGCCGCTAAATTGCATTGCGCGTCTGCGTCGCCCCGGTCTGCGGCCGTGCGATACAGCCGCTCCGCCTTCTTCTTGTCCAGTTTGACGCCACTTCCGTCACTGTACAATCTTGCAAGGTGTCCCATTGCTTCTACGTCCCCAAGCTCCACGGCGCGACGGTAGATCTTCGCGGCTTTCTTATCGGATTTCACAAGGCCGAAGTCACCATAGCGGTACGCGTCTCCCAAAAACGAAATTGCTTCCGGCACCTCGTTTTCCACGTGGCGGCGAAGAAGCGCGAGGTTTTCCGCGTCGGTTTCTGCGCACGGCAATCGACAGAGAGCACACGCACCGAGGCCGATCTTGTCCTCGCACGATTGGCAGACGTTTCGGCAGCAACAGATGCGAAGCACGCTCTGCGCATTCACGTCCCACTCCTCGAGACAGATCGGGCACCGCGACCCGTACCGCGCCGAGAGCGGCTCCCGCTCCGGGTTCGCCTCGCGCCGGGCCCGGGCGGCCTCGTGCTCCGCCGCGATGCGCGCGCGGATCTCGTCGGCGTGCGACCGCGGCGCGGGGCCGTAGAACACGTCCCGCGGCGGCGACGGCGGGGGCGTCGGCGCTTGCGCCCGGGCCGCCTCCGCCGCGCGTTCTTCTTGAATCTTCTTGCAGACCTTCCGGTGGCCCCGGTCGCGCCAGTCGATGCGTTGGCATTCAGTCGAACAGTAGGCCGTCGTGCCGCACCCTTTACAGGGCCGGGCATCCTTCTTCCCGCAAATCGTGCATATGTTGAGCGCCAGCTTTGTACGAGTTTTTCGCGCCTCGTACTCTCGCTTCTTCTTGATCAGTTCCGGGTCCATGATCTCTTCCCACGCTCGTCGCCGACGCTCCCTATTCAACCACCTCACTCGTCTATCATCCCGATGTCCGCCCAATGGCAAAATCGTGACGCTTCCCTACGCCCCCTTCGCTGTTCTCTCCCCCTTCGGTCCTTCCCTGCGCCGCGGCTAAGCAAAATCGCTCAAAATCTTACCCCAGGCCTAAATCCACCCCTAGCGCATGGCGTTCATGTCGTTCTCCATACCCCCCCTCGGCGGCGTCGCCCGCCTTGCGCCAGGTGGGCTTCGCGTTCAGGAACGCGAGGCACCAGACCGCGACGGTCGGCGCGGAAAGGAACGCCGCGACGACGACGCCATGGCCAAGCGCGACTCGCCCGCGCGCGAGCGCAGCATCTCGGGCTCGGGAGACGACGCGGCGTAAAGATTGTTAGGCTATACTCGCGCGTCGAGGCGCGCGAGGTTCTCTATAGCTTTCTCGTTGCCCTTGGCAGCGGCGCGCTCGTACCAGTTTCTGGCTTTGCCGAGGTCGACTTCCGTGCCTCTTCCGAGCCTGTAACAAAGGCCAATGCTGTTCTCTGCCAAGTTAAAGCCTTGATCCGCCGCGAGCGCAAAGTACCGCAACGCTTCTTCAAATTTCTTCTCGGAATAAAGTAGAAGCCCTAAATTGTATTGCGCGAGCGCAGAGCCCCGATCTGTGGCTGTGCGATACAGCTCCTCCGCCTTCTTCTTGTCCAGCTTGACGCCACTTCCATGCTCGTACAAAAACCCAAGGTTTGTCATCGCCTCCACGTTGCCGAGCTCCACGGCGCGCCGGTAAATCTTCGCGGCTTTCTTATCGGATTTCACGAGGCCGAGGTGACCTTGGCGGTACATGTCTCCCAAACACGTAATTGCTTCCGGCACCTCGTTCTCCACATGGCGGCGAATTTGCGCGAGTGCTTCCGCATTGGACTTTGGGCCCGGCATGCGACAGAGGGGACACGCGCCGAAGCCGATCTTGTCCTGGCACGATTGGCAGACCGTGCGGCAGCAACAGACACGAAGCAATTTGTTCGCATTCACGTCCCATTCCTCGAGACAGATCGGGCACCGCGACCCGTACCGCGCCGAGAGGGGCTCACGCTCCGGGTTCGCCTCGCGCCGCGCCCGGGCGGCCTCGTGTTCCGCGGCGATGCGCGCGCGGATCTCGTCGGCATGCGACCGAGGCGCGGGGCCGTAGAACACGTCCCGCGGCGGCGACGGCGGGGGCGTCGGCGCTTGCGCCCGGGCCGCCTCCGCGGCCTGGATTTTCTTGCAGACCTTCCTGTGGCCCCGGTCGCGCCAGTCGATGCGTTGGCATTCAGTCGAACAGTAGGCCGTCGTGCCGCAACCTTTGCAAGCCTTGGCCTTGTCGGCGCCGCAGATCGTGCAGGTCTTGAGGGTGTCGAGTTTTTTGCCCCTCGCTCGGGCCATGCGATTCTCATACTCCAACTTCTTCTCCTGCCACGACATGACTCTGCGCGAAACTTTGACCAGGGGCGTCGCCAAGCAGCTGGCGCTTGGACCTCTGTGGCCAGCTCGCCAATTTACGCTTACCGAGCAACCCGCACGCAGGGACCGCAGGGTCCAAAGCTACATATGTAGTGTACTTATGGACAGGGGTGCTATGTGTAGGCGAAACAAAATGGTGTGCAGGACGAGGTCACGGCGCGGGCGACCAGGAGCCGTGGAGGCCCAGGGGCAGTAGGCCGGAGCTCCGGAGCTCCGCGACGAGCGCGAGGTTCCGCGCGGAGAGGACGGCGAGCTCCGTCGCGTCGTTGGGCACGTCGTGGACGAGCACGAGCAGCCAGCCGTCGTCCTCGTCGGAGCCGCCCGGCCGCGGCGCGAAGACGGGCTCGCCGACGAAGCAGCCCGGCCGCTCCGGCGCCCACGAGAGCGCCGGCCCGCCGCCCGCGACGTCGACCTTCTGCACGGAGTGGAAGGGGAAGAAGGGGTCGCCGTCGGCGAGGTGCGGCGACGCGGCGCAGTAGGCGTAGCGCGTCTTCCGGCCCTCGCGCGCCGGGTGCGCGGACGGGAAGTCGCGGTGCGTCCGCGACCCGTCCGCGAGCGTCCGCGTCGCGAGGCCGCGCAGCGTGCCCTCGCCGCGCTCGAGGCCCGCGGCGACGTCGAGGCGCGTCTCGAAGAGGAAGGGCCCGGCCTCGTGGTCGTGCTCCAGGAGCTGCGCGGGCGCGAACGTGCCCTCGACCGGGTCGAAGCCGTATTCGGAGCCCATGCGGTAGTTGTCGAAGGACGCCGCGACGACGACGACGCTACCGTCGTCGTCCTGGTAGGCGTTGGCGAAGTGGAAGGCCAGCGCGTGGTCGCCCGTGTCGAAGACCAGCGTCCGGTCCGCGGCGCCCGACGGCCGGGGCACGAGGACGACGCGCGACGTCGCCGCGACGTCCGAGACCACGGACCCGTTCCCCAGCATGGGCGCCGCGCCGAGCGCGGCCCCGACGTCGCCCGTGTAGACGACGGGGTTCTCCTGGACCACGTAGTAGTCCTCCGTGATCGCGAAGTCGTGGACGATCGACGACTCGAACGGCATCGTCGCTTCCGTCGACGACGCGAGCGCGCCGTCGAGGCCGAACTCGTAGAAGGTGTAGGACGACCCCAGCGCCGAGAGCCCCACGAGCGTCGACGCGTCGCCGTCGGTCCAGGTCTTCGTGTGGGCCAGCAAGGGCCGGAGGCGGGACAGCGCGCAGTCGGACGTCGCCAAATACTCGAGGTGGGACCAGGATTTCGTCGTGCGCAGCGTCTCCGCGTCGAGCGCGTGGGGCGGGCCCATCTCCCAGAGCGCCAGCAGCTGGCCCGGCGGCCACTCGACGACGCACGTGTTCGCGACGTTCTTGCGCCACATCGCGAGCGCGTTGAACGCGAAGCCGAGCTCGCGGAGGGGCAGGAACGGCAGGGAGAAGAAGCCGCGGAAGACGTTGAAGCCGAAGAAGGTCTCGACCTCGAAGGCCCAGGTCTTGACGAAGCGGCCCTTGAGCCGCACGCGCTGGCGCACGTGCGGGTCGTCGAAATCGTGCGCGGCGTCGCGCTGGATCCGGAAGGACCGGACGTAGCCGTGGCCGTCGAGCGGGTGCGCGCTGCTGCCCACCGTGCCGACTTTCAGGCGCGCGGGGCCGTTGACGTAGAGCGTGCCGCTGAGCTCGCGGGGCACGGCGCCCCGCGTGAGCCGCAGGTCCTCGTCGAGGCAGTCGTCCGGGTCCGCGAGGAGCAGCGCCGCGAGCGCGGCCGCGGAGATCTTCGCGCGCCGCCGCCGCGCGAGGGCCTCGGCGCCGGGGAAGGCGAGCACGTTGTTCTTCCCGGGCGCGCCGAGCCGGCCCAGCACCGACGGCGGCCTCGGCGCCGCGAGCGCCTCGGGCCGGTCCGCCGCGATCGCGTCGGCCCGCGCGACGATGGGGATCTCCGGCCGCTTCCCGAGCAGCGACGGCAGGGAGCGGCCGCCCAGCGGCGGCGGCGCGACGACGTCGAGCACGGCGTTCCTTCGCCGCCCGACCTTGATGGCCTGTTCGAAAAGCCACGGCAGGGAGCGACCGCCGATCGGGGGCACCGGCGCGACGACCTCGGCGGCCAGGCCTTTCAGCGGGGCCTTGCGGCCGCTCTGCGGGCGCAGCAGGGCCGCCGGCGTGCCGAGGAGGCAGGCGAAGACGAGCCCGAACATGGCCTTCAACATGACGTGGACCGTCGATTCGTCCTCGTTCCCAACGCCACAAGGTGTGGCTTCGATAGAGCTGGCGTGGCTGTGCCGGAGAGACACGCGAGATGGCGTTACCGGCTAGTTTTCGACCACGAACAATCCCAAGTCCACCTCGTCCGTGTTGTCGCGCGCGAAAATGCGCTGCGGAAAAAAAAATCAAGTAGCACTTACTCAAGTATGAGGCGTAGTACTCGATTGTGTGTGACGACGGCGACACGACTGCGATGGTGCTAGCCGCGGACCAAGAGGACGGCGAGACGCTCTGTACGCCCGCCACGACGCTTCATCGGCCCCCACGAGTCCACCTCGTGTGACGGCCCCCGCGTTTTCTGCCGCGCCATGGCGCCAGTTCGAAGTTGAATGCGATGGAGAAGTGATGGAGCCGCTTTGTTGACGTCTGACGATTAAGCCCTCCTCAGGCGACACGACTGCGATGGAGCTAGCCGCGAAGGACCAAGAGGACGGCGAGACGCTCTGCACGCCCGACGTCGACGCGCCGCCGCCGCCGCCGGAGAAGCCGAGCGCCCGGGAGCGGTGCTGGAGCTTCTACTCCTCCAACTCCTTCGTCCTGAACGTCATCGTCGTCATCTGCGTCGCGCGCGCCGCGCCCTGGATCGGCGCGGAGCACCTGGCGCCGCAGATCACGGCGTCGCAGATCAGCGTAAGTGTCATCTTCTTCTTCACGGGCCTGGGCCTCAAGACGCGCGAGTTGATCAAAGCTTTGGCGAACTACCGGTTCAACGCGTTCGTGCAGCTCTTCAACCTCGGCGTGCTGCCCGTGGGCATCTGGTGCGTCTCGTCGCTCCTGCGAAGCATGAACGCCCTGTCGCGCGGCCTCGCCAACGGCATCGTCGTCTGCGCGTCCCTGCCGATGACGGTGAACATGGTCATCGTGCTCACGAAATCCGCGGGCGGCGACGAGGCCGCGGCGGTCTTCAACAGCGCCTGCGGCAATCTGCTCGGCGTCTTCGTGACGCCGGGCTGGGTCGTGGCGCTCCTGGGCAAGAGCTCGTCCGTGGACTTTGTCGCCGTGCTGCTGAAACTGAGCCGGCGCGTGCTCGGCCCGCTCTTCGTCGGGCAGCTCGCGCAGTACCACCTGCCCAAGGTCGCGGCCTGGGCGAAGAAGCACAAGCCGCGGCTCAAGAAGCTGCAGGAGGGCTTGTTGACCTTCATCGTCTACTGCGCCTTCTGCAACCAGTTCAAGAACGGCGAATCCGCGCGCGCGTCCGACGTTTTGGTCATGGTCGTCGTGCAGTGCGCGCTGCTCGGCGTCTGCATGGGCCTCGCCTGGTTCGCCCTCGGCGTCGCGGGCTTCCCGCCGGCCCTGCGGGTCATGGGGCTCTTCGGGTGCACGCACAAGACGGTGGCCATGGGCGTGCCCCTCATCGACGCGATCTACGGCGACGACTCGAACAAGGGGCTCTACCTCCTGCCGCTGCTGGTCTGGCACCCGACGCAGCTCATCGTCGGCTCCTTCCTCGCGAACCCGCTGTCCAAGTGGATCGCGAAGCACCGGGCGTCGGCGGAGGTCGTCGCGGGCGAAGCGCCGGACGACGCCATCGAGGCGCCGCCGCCGGACTCGCCGCTCGTCTCGAGGAAGGCCGCTTCCTAACTTCGCATCGTTGTTCGCGCCATGGCAAGTTGAGCCGGAGTGTCTAGGTAGGCCTCGGCCCCGCCGCGGCAATGGCAAGGCCCGCCGCTGCGAAGCACAGGCCGGGCGGCGCGCGCGCTTCGGTCCACCGCGGGCAAAGGAGCGGACCGCGGCTGCGACCGTTAGGAGCCCCAGGCGCGGGCGGGGGGTCGGGGGAAAGGCGTGCGGCCTAGGGGAGGCGCGCGGCGAGCTGCGCGCGGAGCTTCGCCTCGGACGCGTCGCCGCCGTCGAGGGACGCGGCGAGGTTCGCGACCTGCTTGTCGTCGCCGAAGTAGCCCCAGGACGGCGCCGGCGGCGTCGCCTTGGGCGCGCCCGGCGCCTGCTGGACCCAGACGCGGTGCGGCGCGTAGCCGTACTCGCGCTCGCCGCGGAAGGCCCAGTAGCAGTGGCCGCCGCCGTCGCGGCCGACGTGGTCCGCGCGCAGGGGCGGGAGCTTGCCCAGCGCGACGGCGTCGGACTTGGCCGCGGCGGCGTCCGCGTCCGCGGCCTCGCGCGCGCGGAGCGCCTGCGCGGCCGTCGCCAAAGGCCGAAGCCGCCAGTCGTAGTCCGCGGGCGTGCCCTCGGGCGCGGCGCAGCCTACGGTGTGGCGCGCCGCGTCGAGCGCGTCCCGCAGCGTCGCCACGTCGCCGCCGCGCACGGCGCCGTCGAGCGCGGCGAGCGCGGCGTCGCGCCGCGGCGCGTCGAATTTCACGCCCGTGGGGGGCTCGTCGACGACCTGCGCGCCGCGGCTGCCCATGGCGTCGTTGTCCCGCGCGCGCTCGAGCGCGAGGCGCAAGAGGCCGCGCGTCGACGAGGCTTCCAGGCCGCCGAGCTGCGCGGCGGCGAAGTGGCCCCCGCGGTCGTCGGCCTCGTGCGCGGCGGCCGGCGCGCGCGGCAGCGCGTCCAGGTCCAGGTCCGTGCGCGCCGCGGAGACGGCGCGGCGCATCTTCAGGTAGTCCTCGTGCTTCTTGCGCACGCGGTGCTGGAGCAGGGCGCCCTCCGCGGAGCCGAGGCGCCGCGCGCGGTCGTCGAGGACCTTGACGACGGCCTTCGTCTCCAGCGCCGCGTCGACGAGCGCGCGGAGGAGCGCGCAGCGCCGCTTCGGCGCGAGCATGCCGTAGAGGCCGCCCGCGAGCAGGTGGTCCACGGCGGCGGCGAGCGACTCCTTGCCGCGCAGGGGCAGGCCCTCGTCCTTGGGCTCCTCGGCGGGCTTCGTGGCGTCGGTCGGGGGCTCGCGGCCCTCGGCGACGGCGCGGTGCGCGTCCTCGAAGTGCTGGCGCGTCGCCGCGTCGGCGCCCGGCGGCCGCCGGTGCGGCGCGAAGTCGCCGAGGTCCTCGGACGCGCCGACGGCGTCGTGCGCGGCGACGGCGGCCGCCGTCGCGTGCGCGCGGTCCGCCAGGCGCGCGGCCGCGGCCGCGGCGACCATGGCCCAGGTCGACGGCCCGACGACGGCCACGGGCGGCCGCGGCGCGTCCCGCGTCTTCGCGTCGGCCTTGAGCAACGCGACGAGGTCGCCGAGCTTGAGCGGCAGCGCGGCCTGCGCGGCCTCGGAGAGCGGCTTCCGCGCGCGCGACCCCTTCGAGCCCTTCGCGCTGCCCGCGCCGCGGCCGTTGGGCGTGCGCCTCCGGTTCGCGGCGGGCGACAGCTCCTCCATGAGGTCCTTGGGCTGCGTCCGCGTCCGCTTCCGCTCGGGCCGGTGGTTGCTCCGCGGCGGCGCGCCGCTCGACGACTGGTCGTCCGCGGCCGTCGCCGCGGCCGCGACCGCGGCCTCGTCGCTCGTCGCGCTCGCCGACGCGCGCGCGGCGGCGGCGGACGCGAGCGCGCCGTCCGCGGCCGCGCCGGCGCTCGCCGCGGCGGCCGCGGGCGTCGCCGCGGGCGCCGCGGCGGGCGCGGCGGCCGCCGCGGCGGCGCTCGGCGCGGGCGCCTCGACGGGCGGCGGCGGCGGCGGCTCCGCCTTGACGGGCGGCGCGACCGGCGCGGGCGGCGCGGCGGGCGCGACCGGCGCGGCGGGCGCGGGCGCGATGGCGACGGGCGCGGCGGCGACGGGCGCGCGCGCGTAGGGCCCCGCGCCGCCGTTCATCATGGCGCAGGACGCCGCGAAGGCCTGGCGCGCCTGCGCGACGACCGCCGCCTGGATCTCCGGGTGGAGCACCTGGTTCGCCATGGGCAGCGCGACGACGTGCGGCGGGTAGCGCATGTCCTGGAGCGCCCGGCTCAACAGCGCCGGCGGCGGCGGCTGGCCCGCGGCGAGGAACTGGCCGAGCTGGACGAGCGCCGGCGACGGCGCGGCCACGACGAGCGCGCCGGCCGCGGCGGCGAACGGCGGCGCGACCGAAACGGCCAGCGCCGGCGGCGGCGCCGCGTAGGCGGGCGCGGGCGCCTTGGGCTTGGGCGTGGACCCGTTGGGCCGCCGCGTCTTCTCCTCGCCCGGCAACAGGGGCCGCTCCCACCACCGGGGGCCGTGGTGCCTGCGCCGAAATCAACAGTGTCTAGGGGGGGTCCTGACCAAACTTCAAACCTCTCGAGCTCGGTCAAATCGAAGTCGATTCGGCTGATTTTTAGACGAATCGATTGCTCTCGTCCAGTTCTCCACGGAGATGAGAAGTCGCGTCGAAACAATACGCGCACGTTGAAGTCGGGTTGAAGATTTGATTCCGGCCCCGCGTGGCGCTTCGCCGGCTTCGGCCACCACGCGTCCGTGCCGTCGTCGTTGAAGAGCACCTTCAGCAGCTCCACGTGCAGGTGCTGCAGGTAGCGGTACTGGTTCGCGTGGGCCGGCCGCCGCTGGAGCTCGGCGTGGGGCGCCTGTAGAGCGGCCGCGAACTCGTCCAAACGCGTCTCCGGGAGCATGAGGTGGCCCGCCTCCGAGTTCAGCGGGAGCACCGCGGACCCGCGGAACGCGCAGAGGAACTCCCAGCACGCTAAACAGTCGTCGACGGCGTCCGTGGCGTCCAAGCCCGCGGACGCGAAGGCCGCGGCCGCGTCCGCGACCGCGGGCCGCGCGGGCCGCTTGGAGTCCGCGGGCGCCGGCCGCGCCGCCGCCGGCAGGCCCGCGAACTCCTCGAAGCGCCGCTTCGCGCGCCGGCCGAAGTCGTTGATGTCCTTGAGCGCGTCGAGCTCGCTCGCCGCGGCGACGATGGCGTCGACGGCGCCGCGCTGGCCGCGGGTGGAAGCCACGTACGTCGGCCGGTCGCCGTACTCGCGGACGAGGCGCCCCGCGAGCCGCACGCGCACGCGCTGCTTCTTCGAGCTGCAGGCGCGCGTCGCGGACCGCACGGCCGCGCCCGCCGCGGACCGGCACCGCTTCAGGTCGTCGACGATGCCTGCGCGGCGGCGGCGTTTTTCGAACCGCGCGCGCGGTTCGAACGGGGGGGGCGCCGCGCGCGCGCCGTCGAGCTCGGCGAAGGTCTCGTGGACGAGGGGCGACGCGTCGGCCTGCGCGGGGGGGCGCGGTGATGGTTCCCTCCGGGCGCGCGCGCGCGCGCAGCGGCCGGGGGAACCGCGGCGGCGCGCGCGGCGGCGGCCGGCGCCGGCGCGCGGGACGCGGGCGCCGCGCCTGGGCCGCCTCTCGACGCGCGAGCGCCTCGGCCTCGGCGAGCTCCGCCTCGACGGCCAGGTTGCTCTTGTCCGCCGCCCGCACCTGGGCCGCGACGGCCGCGAGCTCCCGCTGCACGTTCATGGCCCCGCGGCGCGCTCCGCTCCGCGGCGCGCGCGCGAGCTCGACCCGCGGCGAGGCGGTCCGGGGCGCGGCGCGCGGGCCGCGGCGAGCCGCGGCGCGCGGCGGGTGCGGCGCGGCGTTTTGGTCCGGCGCCTCGGCGTCAGCCCCCCTGCTGGCGAAACAGTGAAGGGGGTGTTTGCCAATGAGCTGGCGACCGCAACTCGCAGGGGCGATCGAGAGGGGTGCTGGCGGACCGGCTGCGGGCTGGCAACAGGTTTGGGTGCAAGTTTGAGCGAGCCCGGGCGGTAACAAGTGGTTTGATGTGACAAAGAGGCTTTCCAATGTGATCAAACTCCGTGTCCCATGGGCGCCGATGTGGATGAGCGACGACCTCAGCCCGCTAACCGGGGCAAAAGCGGTCCGCCCGGGGCGATGGCCAGCGCCGAGGCCCCGATCGCAACACCACGCTACGCATCCCAGGCACCACTGCTGTCACGTCCGTGGTCTGGCGTCCCGGGTGGGGACAGAAAGCCGGCCGCTGTGGGACGAGACGTCTCGAGAGCGCTTTTTATTTTTGCAGCGGCTCGATCTCGGCTCGTTGCGGATCGCAGTCGACGGTGAACCCGAGCTCGAGCCAGTTGTAAAATGGACGCTTGCCTAGAGCTATCGGCATCTCCCCAGATCGAGATCTACGAAACGGCCGCAGCGCGCGACGCCATGCTCGCCGCGGAAGAGCCCGTCGCCCCCGCTCCGACGCCGACGCTCTCGCCCAACGCGACCAACGCGACGAGTCCCGCGACGGCCGCAACGACGAACACGTCCCCGCCGGCCGCGGCGGAGGCGCTTCCGCCGCCGCCCGCCGCCGCGGCGCCGCCCGCCGCCGCCGCGCCGCCCGCCGCGCCGCCCGCCCCCCAGACCGCGGACGCGTCGTCGGAGCGCATCCGCGTCGCCGTGCGCGTGCGGCCCGGCGAGGGCGCGCCCTCCGTCGCGCTCGACGCGACGCGCGTGACGCTGCGGACGGCGACGGGCGAGAAGCGCTTCGACTTCGACGGCGTGCTGGGCCAGGCCGCGACGCAGGCCGAGGTCTACGACGCCACGGCGGCGTCGCTCGTCGCGCGCGTCTTCGAGGGCTACAACGCGACGGTCATGGCCTACGGCCAGACGGGCAGCGGCAAGACGCACACGATGGGCGAGCCGCTCGACGCTTTGAGCACGTCCCCCGGCGACGCCGGCGAGGGCGTCATCGGCCGCGCGCTCGGCGAGGTCTTCGCGCGGCGCGCGGCGTCGCCCGAGGCGACGACGGTCCACCTGAGCTACCTCGAGGTCTACAACGAGTGCGTCTACGACTTGTTGGCGACGCACGAGGACCGCGAGCCGCTGGGCGTCCGCGAGGACGGCGGCGCGGTCGTCGTGCCGGGCCTGAGCGAGCACGACGTCGCGGCCCGCGGCGCCGCCGACGCGCTGCTCCACCGCGGCGCCCTGCGGCGCCGCACGGGCGCGACGAAGATGAACGCGGGGTCGTCGCGGAGCCACGCGCTCCTCACGGTGCGCGTCGCGACGGCGAGCGGCGCCGTGGGCAAGCTCGTGCTCGTGGACCTCGCGGGCAGCGAGCGGGCGACGCGCACGGGCGCCGAGGGCGCGCGGCTCAACGAGGGCATCATGATCAACAAGGGCCTGCTGGCTTTGGGCAACGTCGTCTCCGCGCTCGCGGAGCGCACGGAAGCCTCCGGCGCCGCGCGCCACGTGCCCTTCCGCGACAGCAAGCTCACGCGGTTGCTGCGCGACTCGCTCGGGGGGTCGGCGCGGACGTACATGGTCGCGTGCGTGTCGCCCTGCGCCGCGGACGCCGACGAGACGGCGAACACGCTGCGCTACGCGTCGCGCGCGCGGCGCATCTCCAACGTCGCCGTGCGCCACGCGGTCGCGGAGATGCCCGAGCGCGCGCTGATCGCGTCGCTCCGGAAGGAGAACGCGGCCCTCCGCGCGCGCCTCGCCGCCGGGGGCGCGGCGCCGGCGGCGCGGGTGGAGGCCGCCGACGCGGAGGCGCTCTTCGCCGCGCGGCGGGCCCAGCGGAGCGCCGAGGCCGCGCTTTAGGGGGCGAGAGCGGACGCGCTCGCGGCGACGCTCGCCGTCGACCGCTACCGCCTCGCCGCGGAGGCGGCGGCCGCGCCCGCGGACGATGAAAGCCCCCGGCTGGACCTCGTCCGGGAGCTCCGGGCCGAGCTCGCGGACGCCAGGGCCGAAGCCGCGGCGCTCCGCGGCGCGGACGACGCCGAGGCCGAGGAGACGTCGCAGCTGGCCGCTTCCCACACGCTCGCGGAGGAGGAGCGGCAGATGGCCGCGCTGCGGGCCCAGTTCGCCGAGGCCGTCGAGTCGCTGGACGCCGAGGTCGGCGCGCTCGAGCGCGCGCGCGACGCCGCGGCCGCGGACCTCGAGAGGGCGAAGCGCGCCGGCGGCGGCCAGGCGGACGCGGCGCTCCGCGAGGCGCTCGCGCGGCGCAAGGCCGCGCTCGACGCGAAAAAGAAGGAGCTCGAGGCCGCGAAAAAGGAGACGGCGCGCGTCGAGGGCCTCCGGCGCCGCGCGGAGTCCGAGGCGTCGAAGCTCCGCGTCGCGGCGGAGACGGCGAAGCGGCGCCGCGTCGAGGCCGAGAAGAAGCTCCGCGGCGAGGCCGCGCGCCGCGTCGACGACAAGAAGGCGGCCACGCTGCAGCTCGCGCGCGCGAAGCGCGGCGCGGAGAAGTCGGCCGCGGAGCTCGCCAAGCTCAAGGGCCTCGAGG